CCCCAAGTACTTTTTTGAATAATTGGTGCCAAGGATCTATGGGGAATTTAGGTGTAATCCTGTTGCCATTGTGAGGAGATTGAAAGATGTGGGCCTTCATGGAATAGAGGTTTATAGAAGTGATGGAAAACTGGCAGGTATGAGAATGATTTATTCCCATAAATGCTTACTTGTTTGTGTTCTGAATTTGAAAGTGAACTGGATGTCAAGTGGTTGCTTTAATAATTGGAAATTTGTGTTATTAAGAATTTAATCTATGTGGGTTTTATAGAGTATAGTGTATGCATAGAAAATGATTAGTACCGTCAGATGATAATGAGATTTGAAGTGTTTTTTTGAAATGTGATGCATTTAAATTAGTTACAAATTCTGTTAAAATTTATCCGTTAGTGGTTTTTGACATTAAATGAATTACGCTTAGAATAGCCTTGGGCCTAGTGTTTGAAACCTGGCCGAGCCCATGAGAGGCAGCCAATTAGCCTGTGAGAGGCAACATGTCAGCCTGGTTTCCCAGCTCATTGACTCATCTGGTCAATGAATGAGAGGGCTATAAAGAAGCCAAGAGTGATGATTCATAGGACACCCACAGGTGAATGTATGGTATGGGTTGTCCTCCAGTGTCACTCTAATAAGTGACCTACAACAACTTCAATTGGTAATTATAAGCTTTGCTATTCTTATTACTCCTAGAATAAGAATTTGACATATAAATTGATGGATTAGTTTCTTGTTTTAACACACACACGATTAGTTTGGAAAATGTTGTAGTGTTGAATTTACTTTCATAGCTATAGACTTTCTTCATTCCTATGCTTTTTGTCCTTAGAATTGGTGCCTTCTTATGATTAGTCAGTATCAGCTAAATGAACTGTGTTGCTTCCATCTCAGTTTCTTAAAGTACCATTCATTAGTAACTAGGGCTTTTAAATTTTCTCAATCCTCACGAATTCTACACGGCCATTTTTTAATCTAAGTTGAGGTACAAGAAGCATGGCAAAACAGAAATCAAGTTATCAACCCCAAGTATTTTGAGAAAAGGCTTTACTGAATTCCAAATAACTGGCAACCAATAAGATTGCATAGATCTTCCTCTAATTCAACAATGGAAGGGAGGGGGGCTGTGGGTTAGTTGTCACTTGAGTAATGAGTATGTGCATGTTTGTGTCTATGCATGTGTTTTTGGTCAGGTTCAACTGGCCAATCAAATTGTACTTTGGCACCCTTCAATGTCCTGACCACGAGATTTAGCCTCTTTCCTGACTGAGTAAAATCTGTTGCTTTCTGTCATATCATATGGTAAGTCTAAGTGTTGCTATATGTGGTACTCAGTTGGTGAATAGATTCAAAAGTCTGTTCGCTTTTGGGCTTAAGCTCCTCTCCACCTCAATCCTCTGAGGGAGTTGACCTTGATTCTTTGGTTGGAAATTGCCTCCAGTCTGACATATCATGTAAAAGGAAACTACTGGAACTGTTCTAGTGTATGAACTGCATAAGGGAATATTTTGGCATGTCTCAAATCTTAAGTTAAGTTATCTTGGCAGATGTTGCACTTTTGGGAACTTGAAAGTTGGAAATGCCAATTATGATGATATAGCCACTAACAATAGTATTGGCAGCAGTTCATCTAGTTTCTTTTATGGATTTTATTTCAGGCATTGATAGACTCTACCTCTTCTGAAAGTAGTCTTGATGATGAGACTGGTGTAAGGGTGGTTGCCTTGTTTGATCATGAGGAGGTTGGATCTAATTCAGCACAGGGAGCTGGATCTCCTGCCATGTTGGATGCTCTATCACGAATTACAAGTTCCTTCAGTACCGATTCTAAGGTAGCACCACTTCCTGTTACATTTTTGCATTATAGTTGTAGTGTACTAACATGTTTACATTTTCAATATTCATAATCAGACTAGTTGAGATCTCCTGAACTTTTCTGTATGAAAATGGGAAATATATATATATATATACTACCAATTTACTCCATAGTCTCTACAAAATCCAAAAAATTGATGTAAAGATGGTTCAACACAGCCTAAGACCTAACTATACAAAAATTGGCAAAATTTTGTCTAGAATATGCCATTTTGAACTAATACTAGAAACACTCATGTGAAATTTCTCCAATAGGGTGTGTTTAAAAATTCCTGGAAGTTCTTGGAAATGTACTTGCAAATGTGCTGTCCACATGTGTTTCACTCTATTGACTTCAAAAAAAAAATAAAAAACCAACACCACATCTTTGGCTTCTTATTTTCTCAATGTTTTGCTTCCAGAGCAAAACACTTGAGTTTAGCCTAGTGGCCAGAGCCTCTGTATCTCACAAAAACCAACATAATAACATCTTAATCCTAATTAAAAACACAAAGCACAAGCAAGTGATGGCCAGCCTCCACCGTTTGAGAATGTATGATAAACAAAACCATTAACATTTAAATTATACATGCAAAATGTACAACAAATCAGCTTGTAAAATCAAAGCAACAACAAATTAAAGTGAATTGTGAGTAAAATTACAAAGCTGAATCTCTAAATCACAGAGCTGAACTGACAGAGATAACTAGGGTTTAGACAGCACAGAGAGCGAGAGAGAGAAAGGGGGAGAGAGAGAGAGTAGCTCACCGATCTGAATCGATTTTGAGAGAGAACTTCGAAATGGCTCGGATGAATCACCGATCTGAATCGATTTTGAGAGAGAACTTCGAAATGGCTCGGATGAATCACCGATCTGAATCGATTTTGAGAGAGAACTTCGAAATGGCTCGGATGAATCACCGATCTGAATCGATTTTGAGAGAGAACTTCGAAATGGCTCGGATGAATCACCGATCTGAATCGATTTTGAGAGAGAACTTCGAAATGGCTCGGATGAATCACCGATCTGAATCGATTTTGAGAGAGAACTTCGAAATGGCTCGGATGAATCACCGATCTGAATCGATTTTGAGAGAGAACTTCGAAATGGCTCGGATGAATCACCGATCTGAATCGATTTTGAGAGAGAACTTCGAAATGGCTCGGATGAATCACCGATCTGAATCGATTTTGAGAGAGAACTTCGAAATGGCTCGGATGAATCACCGATCTGAATCGATTTTGAGAGAGAACTTCGAAATGGCTCGGATGAATCACCGATCTGAATCGATTTTGAGAGAGAACTTCGAAATGGCTCGGATGAATCACCGATCTGAATCGATTTTGAGAGAGAACTTCGAAATGGCTCGGATGAATCACCGATCTGAATCGATTTTGAGAGAGAACTTCGAAATGGCTCGGATGAATCACCGATCTGAATCGATTTTGAGAGAGAACTTCGAAATGGCTCGGATGAATCACCGATCTGAATCGATTTTGAGAGAGAACTTCGAAATGGCTCGGATGAATCACCGATCTGAATCGATTTTGAGAGAGAACTTCGAAATGGCTCGGATGAATCACCGATCTGAATCGATTTTGAGAGAGAACTTCGAAATGGCTCGGATGAATCACCGATCTGAATCGATTTTGAGAGAGAACTTCGAAATGGCTCGGATGAATCACCGATCTGAATCGATTTTGAGAGAGAACTTCGAAATGGCTCGGATGAATCACCGATCTGAATCGATTTTGAGAGAGAACTTCGAAATGGCTCGGATGAATCACCGATCTGAATCGATTTTGAGAGAGAACTTCGAAATGGCTCGGATGAATCACCGATCTGAATCGATTTTGAGAGAGAACTTCGAAATGGCTCGGATGAATCACCGATCTGAATCGATTTTGAGAGAGAACTTCGAAATGGCTCGGATGAATCACCGATCTGAATCGATTTTGAGAGAGAACTTCGAAATGGCTCGGATGAATCACCGATCTGAATCGATTTTGAGAGAGAACTTCGAAATGGCTCGGATGAATCACCGATCTGAATCGATTTTGAGAGAGAACTTCGAAATGGCTCGGATGAATCACCGATCTGAATCGATTTTGAGAGAGAACTTCGAAATGGCTCGGATGAATCACCGATCTGAATCGATTTTGAGAGAGAACTTCGAAATGGCTCGGATGAATCACCGATCTGAATCGATTTTGAGAGAGAACTTCGAAATGGCTCGGATGAATCACCGATCTGAATCGATTTTGAGAGAGAACTTCGAAATGGCTCGGATGAATCACCGATCTGAATCGATTTTGAGAGAGAACTTCGAAATGGCTCGGATGAATCACCGATCTGAATCGATTTTGAGAGAGAACTTCGAAATGGCTCGGATGAATCACCGATCTGAATCGATTTTGAGAGAGAACTTCGAAATGGCTCGGATGAATCACCGATCTGAATCGATTTTGAGAGAGAACTTCGAAATGGCTCGGATGAATCACCGATCTGAATCGATTTTGAGAGAGAACTTCGAAATGGCTCGGATGAATCACCGATCTGAATCGATTTTGAGAGAGAACTTCGAAATGGCTCGGATGAATCACCGATCTGAATCGATTTTGAGAGAGAACTTCGAAATGGCTCGGATGAATCACCGATCTGAATCGATTTTGAGAGAGAACTTCGAAATGGCTCGGATGAATCACCGATCTGAATCGATTTTGAGAGAGAACTTCGAAATGGCTCGGATGAATCACCGATCTGAATCGATTTTGAGAGAGAACTTCGAAATGGCTCGGATGAATCACCGAGCCGAGATGTTTACTCCGGTTGAAAGAGTTGATCTTTTGTTCAACTAAGGTATTCTCGATCGAGATGTTTACTCCGGTTGAAGGAGTTGATGTTTTGTTCAACTTAGGTACTCTCAGCCGAGATGTTTACTCCGGTTGAAGAAGCTGATGTTTTGTTCAACTTAGGTACTCTCTGCCGAGATGTTTACTCCGGTTGAAAGAGTTGATGTTTTGCTCAACTTAGGCACTCTCAACTGAGATGTTTATTCCGGTTGAAAAGTTGATGTTTTATTCAAATTAGTTCGCCTCAACCGAGATGATTATTCCAGTTGAAAAGTTGATGTTTTGCTCAACTTCGGTATTCTCAACCGAGATGTTTATTCCGGTTGAAAGACTTGATGTTTTGCTCACCGAGATGATTTATTTTGGTTATATGAGTTAATTAACGAAATTTGTCTTGCTGAGATATTTTGTCCGGTTAAAGTTACTCAGCTCTAGGACCGTGCAAACACTTGGTGAAACTAGATCTTTTTCATTAATGAAAAGAGAAGTACAAAATGAGGGGCAGAGAGCCCGATTACATGTGCAAAGCAAAAAATAAAGAAAAAAGAAAGCTAAGCTAAGGGGGAAAGGTTGGTGAATTCATCCTTGGTTGCCTCCAAGTTGATCGTTGGAGGTTGGTCTTGGGCACTGGGCTCACTTCGGCCGGGCTGCCCCCGCTCTTGGTGGTCCTCTCCCTCAGCATCTGCCTCGGCCTCTTCTTCAAGACCTTCCTCGGCCTCAACCTGCAACACGCTGAAGACGTCGTTGGTATATGGAACGAGATAGGTCGGTAGGAAGGTAGGCGGTGGAGTGGCAAACACGTCGGTATCAGGACCTTGACCGAGATGTTCGCAGGCAGACTTCTAGCCCGCTTTGAAATAAATGTCTTGAGTTGCGAAGACCTGCTTCTTGTAGTTGTCCTCGGCGTCCTTGAAGCCGGCATTGTTGGCATCTTCGCACTCCTTCTCTCTTGACTTCTTGAGTGCATCCAGCTCGGCCTAGAGCTCATCCTTCTTCTTCTCGGCTTCGTCAAGCTGGCCGAGCAACCTGTTGTTGTCAGCATTGGTGATTTGAAGTGAGGACTTTGCTCGGCCAAGCTCGGTTTCAAGGCTTTGGACTTGGCTGGCGGTGTCATTCGCCTTTTGCCGCAGTCGATGGATTCGCTCCATGACCAAGTGTTGCTTCTGGATGGCCTATAAGAAGAAAGTTTGATCAGAGAGGAAACCGTGCAAACACTTGGTGAAAATTTCAGTGAAAGATTGAGACTTACCCTGGCCATGGACTTAACAGACGATTTCACGAACCGGGTGTCAGGAACGTGGTCGCTGCCGTCCACATTGCTTGGTAGGAGAAGGGCTTTGGAAAGGTCAAAGGCGAGCAGGTGCTCTTTGTTGCCCTTGATGGAAACGGTAGCCGGTATGTCCTTTCCCCGGTGCTTTAGCTGCGGTCGCCACGGTGGTGTTCGGTTGACAGTGTCGGCGGGTTGCTTGGTGGTTAGCTCGGCAACCAGCTCGGCAGTTGGGTCTGCGCGAGGCCTTTTGCCAGCCCGGCGAGCTTCTTGTCTGGGTTGCCCAGCACCTGGAGATGCCAAGGCGACCATGGGGCCACTAGATTGTCCGGCAGCTTGAGAGTAGGTGATGATGCTCGGTATCTCGGCTGAGGTTGCTGTGAGGAGGTTCTTGATGCGGCTTCGTTTTGCCATCTCTTGTTCTTCGGTCAGCCGGATTAACGGCACGTCCGGTAGAGTTGGGTCTGGAGGAGGTGTTGGAGCACGGAGAAAGTCTGTAACTTTGCTCCGGCATGGAGCTGAGTATCTGCAGGTTAGAGTGTAGCCGAGCAACTTGTTACAATCCCGGTGGCTGTAACGGAGCACGGTCCGAATGGCTTCTACGTTGGGATATTGGTAGTTGGATTGCAAGGCTTGAATTGCTGCAAAAGAAATCGGAAAAATGGTTAAGTACAGAATGTTGAAGGCAGGAAATTAACCGAGCAAATTAGCGTGGCTTACATGTGGAACCAAAGTTCTTGTTGATGAACCAGCCCGGTACGTCGGCTGTTTCATAATTGCTAGACACCCAGAAGAAGTCGTCATCATGTAAGTCCTTGTCTGGGGTGCCGGTCACTATTTTCTCTTTGCCCGATCTTATTTTTAAATAATAGGCCAGGCCGTCGCCGGTGTGCCCAAGGGTGTATTGTCGTAGTATCTCGGCTAAACCCAAGTTTGTTCCTAGCCGGTTGTTTAGCTCGTGCACGCCATTGATTATTCGGTAAGTATTGGTCAAAACTTGGGTGGGTGCTAGCCCGGTGCGGCACAGAAATTCAGTCATCAAAGGGTTGACCGGGAAGTGGAGGCCTCCTTCAATTACTGACAGCACGGTGAAGGGGCATTGGTCAAGCCTGCCCCAAGGGATTGTTTCCATCTCGGCGAGCACTAAATGGACATCTATCGGGATACCGTATTCTTCCCCGAAGGCGGCCAAGGCAGCAGGTGTGTCCACAAGGAAGCGAAATTTCCCCATGTGTGGCCGACTAATTTAGCTCAGCTGAGGTGGTTTGGCACAGGCTGGGAATTAACGGCTGCTCGGTCCTTGAGAGCCTCAGAATTAGTCTTTGGTCCCCTTGGACTCTGCAGGAAAACGGAGGGTAATTGTAAGTGGGAGCGCGGTTGTGCAAAACGAGCTAGACTTGAGCTCGGTCATAGATTGTGCCAAACCACCTCGGTCGTAAGGCTAGCCAATGAGCTCGGTCGCTCAAGTGAACCAGAGATTTTCCCGGTCGAGCGGCCAAGTCCTTTTTGCTACCCCAGTTTCTACTAAGGTTGGGACAAACTAAAGATTTGCTCGGTCTGAATGATTTTTGGGATCGGATGAAGATCTGGAGCCCGGTCCGCCCCAGATCTTCATTGTTCATCAGTGAAATTGAAGAACAACGAAGAAACTAAGGGGCATTGAAGGTTTTGGGTGGGGGGAGGCCCTAAAACCTACGGATTTGGGGCCATAAAAAAAAATATGAAATGAAAATAGTAATAATAAGGGCTGGGGGACTTACCAATGAAAGGCAGAGGCTCCTTCTTCGAACGCGAGTTCAAGGATGGCGAGAGAGAAAGGGCAAGAGCTCAGAGACGCTTGAAATGGAGGAATGTCAGTGAGAATGAATCAAAGAGGGAGGGGGAATGTTTATTGAGGAAGAAAAACCGACCAAATTCAAATTTCAGGGGACGATTGGGTTGGCTGCTCGAGGACCAATGGGAGATTGACACGTGACCCCATTAATGGCAACATCAGAGTTGAAGAGATAGGAAGGGGTCAGACGAAGCATCGACCGAGCAAGACAAGGAACTGAGCGCGGAAATTAGCCCGGTTTGCCTCTTGCAAATTATGAACCGAGGAAGAGTTTATTCCGGTCGGAACAGGTAATCCCGGTCACGCTGGCGCGGACGGAATTAAGGGGCAATTGAGAAGGAAAAATATGATCTGGATTGGGCCATGGTAATACCAAGCAAATTGTGGGCCGAACACATTTGGGCCATGGTATCCCGGGTCCACCCAGAAGTGATTTTTGCTCGGCAATGGCAAAGGCGTGTGGAACTGAGCTATTTCACCTTGTCGGCACGGAAGCCGGTCAAGTAAGGGTTCTACGGTTTATGCGTTGCGCGGTTGGAAAGCACGCATCCATAGCTCGGTGCGAAGGCTCATGCCTGAAGCTCGGCAGGAAAGACTTTGGTTGACCGGTATGACCAATCTCAAGCT